GCACAGGAGGTGGCCGTGGGTGTGTTTAAGGGTGCGATGTGCTGGTTCACACGGCCTTTCCTGCTACAGCCCAGAGAAGTCTGGGCATCACGTGGCCCCTGGATACTGGGGCCACTCAGTGCCTCCTGGGGCTTGCTGGTGGAACCAAGGGGCTCTGGCTGAGACCCAGGGTTTTTTCTAGAAAGCTGATAGAAGGGGGACAGTGGGGGAGAAGTGGCAAGGTGAGTGTGGGAATGGCCAGAGGGGGAGGGCCGGCTGATATTCTGCTGTCACCCCGGGGTTGCCCAGGATGAGGGGGCTATGCAGCACTCCCCAGTGGGGTCTCTATCACCCCAACTCCTGCTGAGACCCTTGGAGGCCCCCACTACCCTGGTTGTCTTGAAGTCCTGCAGCTGCACTAGACCTCCTTGCAGGGTGCTCCCTGTGGCATGGCTTGGGGAAGTCTCCTCAGGGCGGGGCTAGGGGCTCTCCTCAAAGTGGGGTGGGGGGATTTCTCCATAGTTGTGCCATCTTGTGGCCCTTTGTGTCCACGAGCCCTGGGGGCCACCAGTGTGGGGGACAAAGGCCAGGGCCTGGGCGCCACGTCTGTTCTGTCCATTCAGAGGGAGGGCAGAGATCACAGGGCTCTGGGGTCCCATGGGGATGAGGAGCAGACATGGGCCTTGTCCCTGACTCTCACCTGCCACTGCAGGCCACTGTCCACCTGCTGGCCCTCTCTCCTCCCTGCTGCTGAGTTGGGGTGCCATACCTGCAGGGATTCCAAGGCACCTGGAGCCCCCACCGCAGGCTGCAGGCCCCCTCTCCTATCTGTGGCCCAGGCCCCTCTTTCCTGAGGACCCACTGTCTCTGGGGGTGACTGTCCTGTGGTACCCAAGACTCCCTTCAGAGGGCTGATGTCACTTCTTGGGTGTCAGCTGCCTGGCCACTGGGGTGGCGGGGCCAGAGGTCAAGGCTGATGCCACACCTACTGTCAGGGGCTTGCTTCAAGCTTTCCCAACACTCACACTTCTCTGGTATTTTCCCATGGTTGGCACATTCCCGATGGACAATCCCAATCACTCTGCCCCCGCCAGCTTCGAAGGGCAGAGGGCGTGACCTCTCCCTCCACTGGCCCAACTGACAGCAGGGCAAGGTAGGCCTTGGCCTGGGACACACACCCCAGGTGGCTCTCTCCCTACCTGGCCTTCCCAGGGATTCTCTCCTCATGGAGACACTGCCATGCAGCCTTGGGGACACCTGCTGGCACAGGTACATGTATGTGGTGGTCAGGGCCACGCAGACACACACAGAGAGCACGGGTAACTGAGGCCAGGGTGGTGGTAAGGGCCACGCAGGCACACACAGAGAGCACGGGTAACTGAGG